GGTGTCCTGCATTCCCATTTTGACTCAAATCTATAATTTAGACAAGACAAAAGAAATCATTTTCTATAGACCTTTTATCCAAAAATTCCTGAAGGCATTACCATCAGGCTGCTTTAATCAAGCTTAAATAAAAATTGAATGGTTTAAATCATTTAAGTCTTCCATTTGGCTAATTTGTCCTCATTAGAGGTTGCTCACTTTTTTTTTAAGATTTTTTTTTGAGTTGGAGTCTCAATCATGTCACTCAGGCTGGAGTGCAGTGGCACACTCACAGCCACCACAGCCTCGACCTGCTGGGCTTAGGTGATCCTTCCGCCTCAGCCTTCCAAGTAGCGGGAACTACAGGCACACACCACCACACCCAGCTAGTTTTTTGTGATTTACTGTAGAGACAAGTTCTCACCAAGTTGTCCAGTCTGGTCTCGAACCCCTGGGGTTAAGGCATCCTCTTGCCTCAGCCTCCCAAAGTGTTGGGATTATAGGCTGAGCCACCATGTCGGCCTTTTTTTCTTTTTTAAGGAGATGGGTTTCACTGTGTTGCCCAGGCTGGTCTCAAACTCCTGGGCTCAAGCGATCCTCAGCCTTCCAAAGTGCTGGGATTACAGGTGTGAGCCACCATGTCCAGCCTGCTCACTCTTAACGTGCCAAAACATTGGGAGAAATTCAAGTCACTTCAGAAACTGCTTAAAATTTGGTCCCCAGAGCATCTCCGTGAAGAGTTCTCTTGCATTTTCAATACCTTTCCTTGACAAACTCAAAAACAGAAGAAATGATAATGGACCAGGCTGAAAGTGAAGACCCCATGCACGACCCACACAGCACTGGCTCTCCACACTATAAACACCCAACCCTGCATCCTGATCACCATCAGGAGGCGCACACAAGAGCTATCATGATCAACTTACTGGACTCCACTAACTTTTCAGCTGAATAACGTGAGCCAAGTTATTAAAAGTAAGCCTCTGTTTGGATTACAGGGCCTGACTCCAGTGTCAAAGCGTTAGCCTTTCCGGAGAGTTGGGCATTATTTGTAGCTTAATCAAATACAGATAAATCTTCTTTGAAAGGCTCCCTCTTTGTGGGGCTATTTTTGTACCCCAAGTGTGTTAGTATATAATCTGATTTTAATTCTGACCTGTGAAATCATAACCCAAGGACAAAACATGATCTCTTATACTCCTCATTTTATTAAAATTGCTCAGATCTTTACTGTGGTGAGATAAGTTCTGTTTAAAAATCAAGCAGATAAAGAAAAGGATTGACAGTGGCAGGAAACTATGGGGGGTAGGGAGGGGAAGGGAGGTGGGATTAACGGTAGTCAATATACTTCTGGGGAAGAGGGACATACCTCATCAACAAGGGTACCTGCACAATGAATATTTGTATACCTAACCCTTAACTGTACCCTACAATTTTAAAATTTTAAAAAATATATATTAAAAAAAAAGAAAGGGATTGGCAGTAGTGGGAAATTGCCAGGGAAGGTTGGGGAAGGGATTGGTAGTAGTGGGAAACTGCCAGGGGATGGGGCATTCCTCATCAACAAGGGTACTTGCATAATGAACATTTGTATACTTAACCCTGAATTGTACACCACATATTTAAAATTAAAAATTAAAAAAGCATTGTAAAAAAAAAATCAAGCAGAAAATTCAAACTTTCATTCTAATACATAACCTCCTGAGGTCACTTGGTTCAGCTGTCCCCACTGGCTTCTCAGAGGTTGCCTTTTCAACCATGGAGTGCTGTTATCCTTTCATAACTAAGTAAACATCTACATGAAACACAGCTGTGTCCAGAGTACCCATTGCCCGATAGTCAAAGAGACTACTTCCTGATCAAAATTAATGGCTTCTTAGGTGATGATTTAGCCAGAAAGGCAGCATTTCTTTTTTTTTTTTTAAATAGACACAGGGTCTGCTATGTTGTCAGGCAGGCCTTGAACTCCTGGCTTTAGGTGATCCTCCCACCCCAGCCTCCCAAGTAGCTGGGACTAGGACTACAGGAGTGCCCAGCTGGAATGGTAGCATTGCATTTTAGTCATTCAGCAGATAATCACAGTTAGGACCTAACTAGGAAACACAGCTCGTCCTATCTTCTCTCTCGCCTCCGAAAACACACTATTTTCACAGTTTTATCATCCCTGTGGGAAAACTCCTAAATTTAAGAACTCCAAATGCATGTGACACCCAATAGTAATGTAAGTATCCCATCTATTTCTTAAATCCATCCTGGCAAAACCCAGCACCTGGTCTTCCTGCCATAGCCATCTTCCACCCAGCTCCCCTGACCCAGGTGGGGATCCCCACAGACCCACGTCTCGGCTCCTCCTTCCCCCAGCACCATCCACCCCACCCTCCTGGGTTGCCAAGTCCTGTGGATCCTGATCCCCTCTTCCCGTCACTGTCACCACCATCCTAACTCAGGCACGTGCTTCTTCCCCCGGAACACGCCAGAATGTTCCAAAGTAGGATCTTACCTCCTCTCCCTCCGTCTTAAGTGATGCCACAGTGTTAAGCTTTTGAGAAGGTTACAAGTCCTCTGCAACCACATGACTTGGCTTCCCACCCTAGCTCTGCTGCTGCTTACTTCTGTGACCTTGGGCAAGTGACCTCACCTCTCTCTGCCTTATTCTCATCACTGTATAATATGGATGGAAGTTGTGCTTGCCTCACAGAATTGTTGTGAAAACACAATGAATGAAGAGTGTAGAGCGCCTGAAACAGTGTCCGGCACCCACCCAAACACTCAGTAACTGTTGGCCCTCATCTGCAGTTAACCCAAGTCAGGTAACACCAGGGCTGCCCCCAAGCCCTCCAGAGAGTCCCATGGCTCACCAAGGAGACTGCAGGCAGCTCAGCTCAGCTTCCAGCCTATCCCTACCCGACCTCTCACACACACACCCATCCCCCTGTGTGACCTCTACATGCACGGGGACACTGGAGGACTTCCTGTTCCCTGAACACGTGTCCCCAGCGCCCTCCTCATCCCTGCTGTTCCATCTGCCAAGATCCCCCTCTCCTGTCTCTGGCAGGGACAACCTTATCCATCCCCCCAGACAACCTCAAGCCCTCCACAAAGCCTCTTCTGAACTGCTCCCCAGACAGGCCAACTGTGAACCCCTCTGAGCACAGTGTTTCTCTGGGAAGTTAGCTCTCTATGCCTCAAGCCACCATCCTGTTATTCGGTCCACAGGTTGGGAACTGCATCACCCAGCACTGTGCCATGTGTTGGGGCAACAAAGGAGATGGAGTCCTGGGTGGTCAGAACCACAACCACCACTGAAGCATGGCAGAGCAGGTCCAAAGCACAAGAAGGACACGTTCTGCCCAGGCTGGAGTCTCCCGCATTATTCCAAACAGCATCCATACTCACAGTGTGAGCTGAATGGCCTTTCCTTATAAGACACCAAACATGGTAGAGGAATGTGGCTCACAGGCCTATCCTGACATACCAACATTAAATCACACCAAAAAATGTCCTCATTAATCAATACTAGAATCAAAAGGCCATTGTGCATTGAGCTTACTTGGCCAAATGTAATTTTCTGCTAGATTTACCACCTCGCCATCCCAAAAGAAGTGACTCAGACCTCAGTGACCAGAGTTTGCTTGATGACATATTAACAACTGCTGGCCTGCGAGTCACTGCAGAATTGAACATGATGACATATACCCAGCCCCTACCCTCAGATTCACGAGAAAGCTCCAAACCCTAAACTCTCAAAAAGAAAGCTACAGCAACGCACACTCCCAGCCACAGGGCCAGCACTCAACACACAGGGCCAGCAGTGACATCACCCAGGTACACCCGCGCACGCCATTCTGCCGAGAAGCAGAGCTGTAATCTGATACCAGGGATTTAGACCTCTCTGCCTCAGCAACTCAGGCATTCAGGGGCCGCAGTAAAGGGCTCTTTCTTCAGTCATTCAAGAAACACCTCCTGCCATCACCACCAGAAGACATCAGCACCAAGAGCCCTGAGATGAAGGGACTAAACTAAGGACTATTTCCTGCAGGTAAAAGCTATGGTCTGGACAGTCTAGAACACTCGGTGGCCCCACGAATCCCTGGCAGAACTGCCAGTGTCCTTTCTAACAGGACAAGCCCTGGAAAGCTTACTGTGGTTCATCTACCAGCACACAGGTGTAACAAGAAAGTAAAATTCAGTGTTTCGATGAGAATTTATCAGCCCCCTCTGAAACACCAGCCCTTTTAATACAAGAGCACAATCACGTCAGCTCAGCCTTCTAATTCCTTATTATCTTCTGCTGAATGGAGATCCCTCTCTCTTCAATTAATGTTTTACTATGCCTAATATTGAGATACATTTTTCCTGTAGATCAATAACCCTTCATAGAAGACAGCTTCCTACTTTTCTTTTACGCTTTCAAATCCTAATCCCAAAGAAGCAAAATAACCAAAGGAATTAAATGAGCACTCCAACATCACTTCCTCAGAGACAAAGAGAAGAATACCGAAATTTGGAACACCCAAATAAAATATTCAATAATTTGACATGCAGGCAAAATATCAGTCACAGATGCCACTCACAGATAAGGCTCCCTGCAGCCAATGTGCCCCACTTTCTGAAAACAAACAAAAACACTCTGAGAGACCACAGAAGCCTTGAGCACTGTGGGCCACGCACCTGCAGCCCACGCACTGCCCTGGGCCTGTGGCTAGCCCATAAACACCTAGTGACAGATCTGCAGGTGAACAGAGCCTGGTAGTGACAGAGTGCCAGGAATCTCCAGCTACTGTTTTGTTGTGGTAGTAGGAAGAATGAACACACACTGGTGTCTAAAGGAACCGAATGTTGACAGGTTCTAATTGTGCTGATGTTCCCGAACCTGCCCTAAGCACCTGAGCCTAGAAATAAACCGGTACTGTTACTCGCACTGCTGCATAGGACTGACATCAAGGTGCACCGTGTTTCTTAACCACAGAGCCAACAAACTAAATCGTTCAGAGGGAAAAAAAAAAAACACAGAAACTTACTTTTCATAGACCAGCTCCTCATCGATGGAGAAATAGTGGGTATTTACTGTGCTTTTTGGTCTATTCCTTAAAGTAGCAAAATATAACCGATCTGAAAGACAAGTTTAAAAGACGGAAAAACATATGAGCAGTACGGCAGTGACGGCGAAGAGTGGGGATAACACATGAGGGATCCAAACCACAGCAGCTGCCCAGAACTTAAGGACCCCGAGAGCACGTGGGATTCTGGCGGAAACCTGATCTCACCCGGAAAGCGACAGACTCAGGAGCACAAGTTAGGGAGGCTACAGGAGGGCCGGCCGAGGGTCTCGGCAGGGGACCGAGCGCCCAAGACCCCCGCGTCGCAGGCCGGCGGGGGTGGGCGGGAGCTGGGGGCGCCCCCAGGACGGGAGGTGCAAGTTTGGCTCCGAAGCCTCCAGACCCCAGCGGCCGCGGCGGAAGCGACTCCGGGGACCTCAAAAGGAGGAAGGGAGACGGGGGTGTGGCCGAGGGTGTCCCGAACACCGACGCCCACAGTGCGGGGAAGGCCACCGAAGGGTCGGCCGCCGCAGGAGCCCGACGAGCCCCGAGTGCGGGAGGCCGGCAGAGCCGGCACTGTCCCGTCGCGGCCGGGGCGGCCACCGGGGGACCCGCGGGGGAAG